TACCAAATATGCCAAAGATGTCTACAAAATTATCTCAGTTATTATTAAAAAACTGATTATTTTTGAAAACTTTGCCACCCTGTATCTCAAAAGTTAAGGCGTTCAGGACATACGTCCATAGGACGTTTTTTCCTTAAAATGGGTCTAAGAATTACCTCCTTAAATATTAACATGCGTTTAAGGAACACCCTGTAGAACACGGTTTCCTGGAAACTGGTGAACCAAACGTCAAAATACTTACAGATGATTTTTTTGTATAGAGAGTGACAATTGGCGGATGACAAGTTGGGATTTGGAAAATTTGAACAGGTGGTTATCAGAACGTACCTCGGTCAATTTTATGTAGGTTTGAGAAAAACACAAAAACTTTCTGAACCAAATAGTTTTTTGAACGGAGGGTAAAAATTATGTTATATTAACACAATACCTCTATCAGTGGAATCATATTTTTCTGATAGCATTTCATCGATAGCATTTTCTGAAAAAAATATATAAAATGTTATCGACTCAGGTACTTTTTACCACTGAACAATTCGGGTTATCACCTAATGTCTAATTGGAGTACTGAGAACAATGAACTACTTTGGTTTAAATAACAGATTGATTTCGACAATTAAAAACATTCAGAAACCTAAAAACTACTGCTTCCTAAAAAATATTTTGGAATGTCCGAGCGATTAAATTTTTTTCAATCTTTTCAAATGTCTGCCCTACTCAAGAAATCACTTCGAATTCCATAATTTACCATTCAGAGAACCACTTCGAAATTTCAAATAATTTGTACCTGGCTACCTTGGCTTATTTGTGGGCAGGTCCCTTTTTAAAAAATAATAGACTGAATAGGTACGTTGGATCTACAATAGGTGTAGGTAGATATATTTATTATTTCTCAAGTTACCGATTTACAGTTGCTATGGTTATACTGGAATACTGACAATAAGGATGAAACATTTTGGAATAACTAGGTAAATGGAATGGACACATATAGAAAACTAAATGTAATGACTATTCAAATATTTTATTACATGTCATAGGTCGGTTTTAATTTACTGGAACTGTAGTGTATTGTGATCTATTTGACATGAATATTTGGCAACAAAAATTTTGCGTTCTGATTATTAGCCATTCACGAAGTGTTACTCAGTATCTTTCTTTAAGATAGAATCATCATTCGAATAATTTAATAAGCCTATTTTTCAAAGCGCATATTGACATTCAGTAAAACATCATTTACTACTTCTGTCAGAAATTCAATTTCTACATATTTTTCATGGAAGCCTTCTAAAAATTTGGATAATTGCAAATGACTAATGCGTACCTACAATAAATGGTGGAATAATGGTCTTATTCATCACAGTGGCGGATATAGCCAGGGGGCGTCCCTCTTGGACGCAGAAAATGTTTAATTATGGGTCCTAAGCTAGTCCTACACTCTTGCCCATTAGCAAACTGCAACCGATAACCAGCTTCCTGTACGAGTCCTCTTAAGTTATTTAAATGAAAGAACTATCACTAAACATCTTAATTTTCATTTATTTATAGTGAAAAAATGTATCTCAAGTGCGCCAGTCCTCAATAAATTCCTAGATCCGCTCCTGATCCATCAGGGTCGTATACAGGGAGACAAAGGGGGTATATGACCCTTCCAGGAAATAGATAAAAATTGGAAAAAGTTGATTTCGAAGAGATTTTTGTTAAACTTGAAATTTATTGAAGAAAGTTAATATGTTTAGTAATGTAGACTTATAGAGACTGATAAAGAGAACCTTATTTTGTGAATAATAATTGATACGGTAACTTATCGGGATGAACTAAGAAGTTTGTCTTTTCTTCACCAGTATCAAGTTCTCCATTACAATTTTTATTTTTTTCACATTGTGAGAGGTGACAATCCACTAAAAAGGTCAATAATAACCTATAAAAAAACATTGTCAAATGTAAGAAGAGCTTATCAAATTTCGATATCGTTCAGGGGTTGTGAGAATTCTCTTTTTAGACTTGACAAACAGTAAAAAATAACATTTTTCAATTAATCTCATTCAGCACTTGAGACTGCTGTCGCCATCTTCTGGATCAGACCAAAACTAATACTTTCAGAAAGAATTGTAAGAAATAGTTTATATACATCTTACTGGTTCATCTTTACATTTTTACTACAAATAGTTTCTCGTATTTTACAAAGAGTTTCTGGAACACAGTCCTTCATACACGCTTCCTCTTCTTCCTCTTTGGATAAGGTTCCTCCTGACTCAAATTCTGGAACACAAAGTGATATGAAATAAGGAATAACTTTTTGGGTGATAGGTGTATACAGTGTATGATTAGACTTAAAAAAAGTAGATAACCGTTATGAAAACTTGTATTAATTCTATAGCAACGTTCACTAATTTTATTTGAATTTATTTTCAAAATTTATAGAAATATAATCATTTATCATACTCACTGATGATTTTTCTTTTATTTTTGTCAACAACAAATTTTAAATGAGGAGAATTTGGACATCCAAACTTTATGATGACTTCCTCCGATATATCTGATCTGTCTGTCACCTCAACATTCATATCAAAATTGGCACTGTACTTCTGAAGAGCTTTCTGATATGCTATTTTTTTGTGCTTGTGCTCTGTTGCAAGAAGTGAACTTTCTGAAACAAGAAGAAAAAGTGGCAGACGCTGAAAATATTTTGGGATTTCTGGAAAGTTACAATAACCAAGTATTGCCTTACAACCTTTCAACCGAATGATTAATTCAAGTGTGGATCATTATTAATCAACAATAACTATACAATATTGACTAACCTTTACTCATCATTTCTCAACAGAGCATAATTTATGAAATGAGAATTTATTTCAAGACAGAATCTCAATATCAACTGAAACTCTTCATATTGAAAATTTTACCTTTTTCCAAATTATCGATATTCTTTTGAAGACCCTGCTCTTTTGATGTCAATAGTGCAATGTTTTTCTTCACTTCTTTGAATGTGTTATTCACATCTTTCACATTTGACAAAAGCTGCTGATTATGTGCCTTTGTTGTTTCAAAGTCATTTTTTAGATAGTCAAGGGTATTAATGTTTTCACACACTGAAAAGAAAAAAAAATGGTTTGAATTCTTATCAATATCTCGTATATTTGAAATCATATGAATTTTCAATATTTATATTTAGAAACACTAATGTATCAATAAATTAAATACAACAAAGATCTAAAATACATGCATATGCCTCATGTTTCTCCGATAACAGAGTAATATTATTCTGACAGGTTGTCATCATAAGCAAACTACATGCATGAGTATTTCAGACCATCAACTTGCCATATGCACATGACCCTATATAATGGACTTTGATATGTTAAAGGTACTAAAAACAGGGTGCAAAATATCCCTTACCCTAAGATGATCAGAATAGGTACTTTCCATCCGCTTTTCAAAGATATCAAGGCTATCATCATAAACTAAGACATTGGCAACAGAACCATCAAATCATGAAATTTGGAATAGTCTGAGACATGCAAGATTTAAATTAAAAATATTTTGATGTATCATCAATCATTATCTTAATTCTTCCTCTTGAAGATGATCACTTGTGATTGAAACACGTGCCGAGATGTTAAAAGTAATGGTTTGGTGTTGGGATAAAACTCCAGTAATATTTATTACTACACAAAAGTTCCAAACAGTGCATCACATATCATAATCTCAAAAGCTTTGATCTGCTCTAATAGAAAATTAAACATGTGCATTTTCTTAATGTTCCGATTAAACAGCTACAAAAACATTGTCTAACCACTTTTGAAGATCGAAGCTGTGGCTATAAAAAAATCCATGTTCAGTTGTAGTAAAAATGTTGACAAAGGTAACAAATAGTGAGAACAATAGCTTGGAACCTTGTGGTAGTTCAAAGTAAAAAGTACTGAAACCTGAATAAGTTTGTTGAAAAATCATTCAACGTTCAGTCGACTGAGATTAGTCCAAACCTTTCCTAACTTGAAATACATTATACCTTCACAAATATTGATTTGTTCAGCCTCCATTCTCAGATTCTGAAGGTTTTCATTAGAAAATTTAATCCTTGATGAGAGCTCATCATCAAAGGAAAATGTATCCCAATTGCACTGTAAATTGCTCCATGAAAAGTCGTCCGAGATATTTTGGGGAAACTGGCCTGTGAATGTTGTGCTAACTAAAATATAAAAGACTAGGTATTGGACCATAACAATTCACACAGTTAAATACACCTACAGTTCATGATATTGTGAATTATTTTTCTTCGTAATCTTTGATTACTAAAGGTTACGATTCAATAAGCAAACTGGATATATATATAAAAATTATAATTTAGTATACCAGTTTTAAAAAATGGGTTAGTTTTTTAAATATATAGTTTTCGTTACAGAGTTTATTTTCTTTGTTTGTATTGGTTGTTCACTTGCTCAGTACAGTTATACAAAAAAGTGTAGTCACAGAACTCATAAACTTGCTGACGAGATCTGTGAACTAGTGTCTAGTGTGGTAGTTGGTACTAAGATACCGTGGTCAGCAGAGGGAATAATCTCAATTCCATTTTCTATAATATTATTTGGAAATTTCGACTTCTTTATTATAGCCCAACTTAACCTCTTGACCTTATTAGGGAGTTAACGTTACCTCGAGTATAAAGTCCATCTGTTTCGCTTTGAGAGTTAGAAACCGAAATCATTTTCAAATAAAACATATTGTTTTAAATTTCAATTGATGATAGGAAGTGAATGAAAGTCGTGAATTTTTATTCAAGTGTAACAATATATAAGGCTACTGAAAATTCAAAATTATAATTGCAAAACAGTGTGTTTTGAGCTTTCATTTTGAAATACTTCACTTATTATTGGATTTCTTCTTGGTGGACATTTCAGGATTTTAGAGAAGGGATTTGTGTGTATGTAGCTCGTTCAAATACGTCTTCTGTATGTTGTTTACGAACGTATCCATCTTGGTGTGTGGTGTGAATATTTTTTTTTTATTGATGTGAATTTTCGAAGGTGCATCACCTTGGACAAACCAGGTGTAGCTTCAAAAAAGGCATTCACATTATGCCATTCGAAGATACACAAATACTTGATGACACTCATAATCACTAACCAAGAATATATAGAGAGGCACTAGAAATGCAGAAACATAGGGATAATATCAATAAAAAGGAAGAGGCGATGATCGTTAATAAAATCTGGCTACCAGTAATAATTGTACAAAAAGTCATTTGATCCAAATAAGAAACTAAACCACACCCACCTATGACAATATAAAATCGAAAACATGGTAGTTTCTGCGTTGGGAACAACTCGAGAACTTCAACCGTTACCTCGTCGTCTTTGATGATGTCTACCGCAGTAGCAGACGGAACGTCAGACATAAAAACCACGGACATAAAACTCGAAAATGCTTCCATACAAAAAGAAAAGTTTCACGAAATGTATCACTTAAAAAGGAACAGTCTGACTGATTTCCAACAACATGGGTGATTTAACTGGTAAAAAAGAGGTACCCGTGTAGGTGACTGAAAGTTGAAATTTCGAAAAATAGTTGAATGCAATGGAAAAGAGTTTTTTTTATTCTTTCAAATAATTGATATGAGTATCAGAATGCTGAAACTTAAACAAATTTATCTAGTCACTCTTCTTCAGAAAATTTTAATTGGAAAATAGTCTACAATTCAATCTTGATTTGAGTTTGAATTCAAATAATATTTTATACAGGTGGGCACCCCTTCATTCACTAATAATATTACATTGGATTTTCATTGTAATGAGTTATTAGTGATAATAAATCAAAAAATCATTTCAAGAGTCTATTTCAAGCTCAAAAATAACAAAAACAATCTCCGGAAAGAACCGGATATATTAATTTTAAAACTGACAGGCCCTCTCTGTGAATAATTTCAACTTAGGGAAGTAATGGTCCAATTATTCACTAGATACCGCCAGGGATACATTTTTCGGCCAGTTTAAAAATTCAAGATTTTCAGTTTTTTGCTATGAAGAAATAAAAATATCATATTTAATCACAAGCTAGGTTCACAAATTTACGGGGGGTAGTGTACATACTGAAATCTCAATACTTTAAAACTGTGAAACATATGCGTCTTTCCTAGAAGTGAACATCTTAGTTCAAATTTTGGCGCCCATTAATTTGTCGAAGAGAGCCGAATCACGTGACCCACGCTCGCCGCCATTTCTCCGTATAAACAACGACCGGGAAGGTTCTTCCGTGCATAGTTAACGTTTTCTCGTTATATTTTGTGAAATTAACTAGTAAAAATGTCTGAAGTTGAATCGGTGAATACTAACAATGCTGTAAATGAAGAAAATAGTCAAGTAAGTACGCTGATTTGTATATCTTTGGTGTTAATTTTTCGAACAAGTATGCAATGTGCACGTAATAACTTAGGGATCTTAGAATGTGAAATATAACGGTTAAACCCTCCTATACCGGGTAAGTAGCTTTTATGTTGTTAGTCACAGTCTAAAAGCATCAAGTATTCCATAAGAAAATCGAGAAATTAACGTATTTTAGAGGTGTTTCAAGTGCATTAAACACTTGGAAGTTCCCTATCTTTCAAATAATATATACATGGATATTGTATCCGAGTGAATATAATGAGAAAACATGGTAGAAATATGATTTCTGATATGTACGCCGTGATTTTCATTTTTAATCAAGCACATACGTTTAGCGTGGTTTCGCTCTTGTTCAAATTGCTGAGAGTTGCAGGTCACGTCGTGGATTTAGCCGGTAAAATATTGGAGGGAAATTTTAAGTTTAGGCTGTTGAACTTTGTTGTAATTTGTATATATTTCTTTTTCAGAATGAAAAAGCAGCTAAAGGCAAAAAATCCAAATCGCCCAGACTATCTACTATTGATAGAGCAAGGGAGGAGAGCGAAGCCTTAACCAAGGTTTGTTGAAGTATATTCAACTAGGAGTTTTTTTGTTGAGTGTTGTATTTACAGGGCTTGGGACCTGAGGTTGAAGGCCGACGCCGCACAAGATCAGCCGCTAAAGGTGTTCCTGCAACCCCTCCACCCCCAGCTAAGAAAGAAAGGAAAAGTTCTAGCGCGGGAAAATGTAAGTGGTTTGAATATTACTGATATTATTTTTATTGTTACTTGTCAATCTGAGGTTAGAATTTGGGGAAAATATTCTTTTTAATGGCGCGCGCTAGTTTTTTGAAAAGCATTTTTTCAAACATTTTATGTGATAACTGTCGAAAGTTTGACTATTGTATAATGTTTTCCATTGTCCCACTGACACTAGTGTGTCTGAGTTTAGTAATGGAACAATAATTTCAGCACATATCACTCATCACTACTACTAGATATAATTATTTTTTTATGATTTTAAAGTGATGGATTGATTGAAATGATTGTCAATTAGGTTTCTTGCAGACTTCTTGAATACGACTTTTTTGCCTGAAGACCTTTTTAAAAACATAACTTGCTAGTCAGTATTGCAATTTTTTCTATGGATATCTAACCATGTGAAATGTGCAATAGTCGAGAAAAAACATTCAATGTAGATCACACTTGTTTACATTCAGAGCTTGGGAATACAAAAAGAATTGCCGTTCAGAATTCTAAACATATATATTATTTTCCATGTTGAAAATAATGATAATAATAATTTTTATTATCCTGTAAGACAATCAAAAAGGTACATTGTGTAGGATTATTCAGAAAAGAATATGAAAATGAAACTAAAAATAAGAAGACAATTTACTAAGAGTAACACATTCATTGAAATTTTCATTTTATTATTCAATCATTTTCTGAGGGGAGTAATAGTTTTTCTCTAGTAAGAAAATCCTAAGTGTAATTTTGAAACTGTGGATAGAAATAGAGTTTTTCAGATCAAGGGGTAGCATATTGAATAATCTGAGCCCTATTACATTACGGGAATCGTAAATCGGTGCATTTTTACAATATGGCATATGAAAGTCTGTCTTACGCCTGGTATTGATAGAATGCACATTTTCATCAATTAATAAACTGTTAAGGTTATCATATATAAAAACAATTCGAATATGTGTGTTTTTTATTATTTAAATGTAGGGAATTTTCCTTAAACCAGGTGTTTAACTTTTGCAAAATTAAGTTGCCTTTGGTTTGTAGATTTTGATCTATTTTATCTGATGAAACCAGTGATGTGTCATCTGCAGATTGTGTGAAATGAGCATATATAGAGATGGAATCCACATTATTCACATATAATAAAAAAAGGATTGGGCCCAGCACTGAGCCCTGTGGGACACCAACATAAATATCCACATAATTGGATATATTCAACTTTTTCACATTATTATTATTAACATTGATGATTCTGACATTGCTTCGGAGTTGAGGCAAATGTTTTCAGACAGTTGAGTGAATTTCCTTGTATGCCAATATTATGGAGTTTCATATTAAAGATTTTTGTGATCAACACAGTCGAACGCCTCACTGAGATCGAAGAAGATCCCGATAGGGCACTCGCCTCTGCTAATTGAATTCAAGACCTTTGAATATAAAGAATGAATTGCATCGGTTGTTGACTTTGAATTCTGAAAACCATATTGGTTTTTGGATATAATGTTTTTCTCGTTCAAATGAACTTTCAGTCTGTTCAAGTATGCAAATTCAAAGATTTTAGAGAAAACAGATGACACATGTGTGTCATATTAATCAGATTGACTTTTTTATATATGGGAATGACTACCTGTTTTAAGTAGATTCGAAAAAATTCCTGTACAGTATGAAATATTTATCACATATGTTATAGGTGAGATTATAAAGCCTGAAATTTTTCTTAATAGAAAACCTGGAACTTCATCAAATCCAGATGAGTAAGGTGTTTTTAGTTTTGACCATAAGAGCTTGTATAATTTGTCTTGATTATAAGGTAGCAGTAAGAACTTATTTGAATGAGGATATTTTTTTAGTAGATTGGACAAGTTTGTGGAATTATTATATATTTTTTCCTTAACACATTCGCTGCGTAAAATAATGAAGGACTCGACTCCTGTGTGGGACATATTTATTTTTTTAAATAGGGTTTTTGGGAGTTTAATGCTTTTTTTATGTTTTTTTTTGTGTGAACACAGTAATTATTCATTTATACAAAAATCAGGTTCGGACGCTTATTGGCGTCCTAAGCACAGTACCAGAGTTTCAAGGATATATGCGGATGACGCCATAAGGCGTTAGTGGGTAAAAATGGTCAAGTAGAAAAAAATACAAGTAAAAAAAAAACATTTTAAAACCAAATTAAAGTATATCACATTCCATTTTTCGTCAAAAACATAATAAAACACTTCATTCAATTTTTGTGAAAAAGACTAAAACATGGCTCAAGACACAAACCGGGTTTATCTGGACAAGTCTTACATTCCCACACAGTCTTCCTGATTTTCTTCTGGAAACAAAAACGACATCTTTTTCTTGGTGTTTTCTTTGTGG